GGTCCAGTTTAAGTGGGAGTCCAGCAATGTAACCATTACGCCATCTGCTGGTCCCAAGGATAGATACTCTTGAACAGTATGTTTTGTTTGTTTGTTTGTTTGTTTTTTGGTGGGTGGAGTCCTTGAAAATATTCTAATACTAAACACAGAAAAGCAGACTGCTGTGGAGTATGTGCAGTATGGTGTGTGATCTCATTTCTAAAAATGAAACTGTATGCACGCCATGAAAGCCAGGGTCTTTCATCAGAATGTTTTTTATTTTTTCTATTACAATGCAAACATTTATTAAAGACGTTTAAAAACATTGTATTGGAGCCAGCAGGTGGCATGGTGGTTAAGGCACTGGACTCCCATAAGACCAACTATGAGTTGAGTTCTGGACCTGGCAGCTTGCTTTCTCACTTTCTCTTTCTCTCTCTCTCTCTGTCTCGTTCTCTCTGGTGAGCACATGTGCCCTATAGCAAATTAAAAAATAATAAATAAAATAAAATAAATAATTCTTTCAAAAATATTATTCAAAGTTCTCTTTAAAAATATTTTAAAATTTATAATGTATTTGCATTTATTTGTTTATCTTTGTGGGGTATAATATGGTTGTTTAAAGCACACATACAGTGTGTGACAAATCAAGGCTCCCATCTTCAACAAAGAACATTACATTTTGGTATGCCCCTTCAATTTTTGGTTTTTGTTTTTTGAGATTTTTGCCATAGGGCATGTGTGCTCACAGGAGAGACAGAGATAGAAAGTGAGAAATTACCCCCGAGGGGAGATGACCATGCCAAATTCCTTCTCCTCTCAAGATTTTGAGCTCGCGCCCATCCCCACCCCCCCACATGATGTGAGGTTTAAGCCGCTGTTTCTGGGACTCAAACCAAGGTCAACTCAGTGGGGGTCCAGCAACGTAACTATTACAACATCTGCTGGTTCCATGATTTTTTTTTTTTTGTAGGTTTTCACATTTGCCAGAGAGAGACAGAGAGAAGGAAACTGAGAAACCACTCCCTAAAGGGAATGGCCAGTTGCAATCCCTTCACCTCCATTTTCCTCTCAGGAATACGGGAATGCACATATGCATGCCTGATGTGATTTTTAAGTCATTGGGTCTGGGACTCAAACCACAGTCACCCATGTGGGAGTCCAGCACCTTAACCACCATGCCACGTGCTGGCCCTGCCCATTTGATTTTTGTTCTAAGAAGGTATATATATATATATATATATATAGGGTACCTATTCTGTGCTTATGAATACTTGTGCTCCCAGACTACAGTCTGGAGAGAGAGGGCACCACACAGAAGATAAAGTTATAGAGTTTCTCAGGGCAGACAAGGACAGGTAAGGTCACCTTCCAGGAATGTTCTGAGTAGCTCGGTGATACAACTAGAGGCAGCACCCAATCAACCTGTCCTCTAGCTTTCTCAGTTTGGAGCAACTGGGTCCATTCTAAATTCCCACTAGTCTGACCCAACAATGAGGATGTCTCATGAGCAGCTCCATGTGCAGGCATTGAGAGTGGTGCCCATGATCATGGACAAGGAGCAGGTCTGCAGCCCCAGGTCCAGATGGTCCCATAAAGTTACCTTGCCCCTTGATGTGCACATGGAGATGAATTTCTATTACCTGTCGAGAAAGGCACGAAATAGTCACTTTTCTTAAAGTTGCCACTCTCATCCAGGAAGTGACCAGGGTCAAAGACTTCTGGGTTAGGGAATTCTTTGTCATCGTGCAGTACAGATGTCAGAGATGTTATTACGGTTGTGCCCTGCAATGAACAGCACAGGTTAACGGGGTGTGGAGACAGTCATGGAGCTGGCAGGAATGGTGGACGTCACTTTACTCTTTTGATCTGTAAGCAAGAAAGCCAGGGTCAAAGAAGAGCAGTGACATTTCCAACCAGACAGAGTATGTGATGAACAGGGATAACTTTAAGGCTGGTGGCAGTGATCTGGTGAAAGTGTCTTCCAACAGCACATGAAGTGCTGAGTAATAAGCACTTGGGTGTCAACGGTTCTGAATCTGTCCTGCTTGTCACCAAGCTAGGATACTAGTGTCTGTCCTGCTTCCTGCTCTATTTCATCACTCCAGTTTTAGCACCTCATCTTTATCATGCTTTAAAATGGAAACCTTTGCTGGCTCTCGAAATGTGTAGAGTATCTGTGAACATAGAGCATGGTCATAGGATGTTTTAAAACAGAGGTCTTAGCCAAATAGAGAATTTCTTTTTTGGTATGAAGATGAGTATACTAGAAACTATTGAATGCTGGGTAAGCAGGTGGTATGGAAGTTAAGGCAGCTGGATCCCACATGACTGACTGCCCACGAGACCCAGATCCAGTGGCTTGAAAAGCATGCCAGGCATGGTACATATGTGCCCAAAACCCCAAGAGGAGAATGGAGGAGAAGGGATTGCAGTGTGGCCTTCCCCATAGGGGGTTGATTTCTCACTTTCTCTCTCTCTCTCTGTCTTTGGTGAGTGAGTGCACACAACCTATAAACAAAAGGAAAAAGAAAAAACAACCCAAAAAACAAAACACAAGACTATTTATTGTACATTGCCATGTAGTTTGTTTCTCTCCATTAAAAATGTGGGGGACAGCCAGCAGGTGGCATGGAGGTTAAGGCGGCTGGATCCCACAAGATTGACTTTGTGGTTCAAGTCCCGGACCTGGCAGCTTCTAAAATGTGCCAGGCATGTGTGCGTGTGTGCCCAAAATCCCCAGAGGAGAGGAGAAAAGGGGATTGCAGCATGGTCATTCCCCTTGGGCGTGATTTCGTTCAAGACTCTGGGTCTGGACATGAACCACACAGTCAGGCATGTGGGACGCTGCCACTTTAACCAACACACCTAACGGTTGGTCCCAGGTTATATTATTTTAAATTTTATTGGTAATATGTTTTGGGTTCAAGTAGAATGGAGTAGCTTGGAGCATACCAACTAGAAAGTCTAAACTCCTTTCAGAAGTCATTGTGAAACTGCTGAAACAAAAGTTGGTCTCAAGACGCATAGTTGGGAGAACCTCAGAGAGGTCAGCTGATGGCTGTGGTACCTTTTTGGCTGTGTTCTTGTCCAATTCTGTATCGAGGCAGAAAGTATTACATCAGCCTAACTACCTAATAAGGGAGGAAAGAACCCTTTCTGGAAGGAGATAAACATCATTGAAACTACATTTTTAATATGTAATAATTTTCATTTAATAAAAAAAATTAGACATTCTAAAATTACAAAAAGAAGAGTGGAGGGACCAGCAGATGGTGTAAAGTTTCTGTCGTTGGACTCTTGCGTAGTCGATTGTGGTTTGAGTCCCAGACCTGGTGGCTTGGAACTCACACTGGGTGCGTGTGCATGCATGCCCAAAATCCTGACGGGAGAATGAAGGAGAAGGGATTGTGGCGTGGCCATCCCCCCCCAGGGGGAGTGCTTTCTCACTTTCTGTCTCTTGTCTCTCTTTATCTCTCTGGCAAGTGCATGCACCCTGCAGCAAAAATCCCTCTCTAAAAAAAGAATGGAGGATAGGAAGGCAATACAAACAGACCCAAAATGAGAAATGAGTCCCTCCTCATTTTATGAGACCAGCTTTGCCTTGCAATCTGAGAAAAATATCTCAAGGAAGAAAAATTATAGGGCAGTCTCTCACAAATATAAATATAAACATCCTTAATAACCCATAAAAGATCAAATCTAGTTGTATGTATATATATAACATACGCATATCTAGTGAAGGAAAGGGAGCCAAACTACCTGACCATGTAAATAGATGCAGAAACCATTTAATAAAGTTATGCCCATATTTAAATGACAAAACATCATACAAAAATATAAGAAGGCAAACATCTCTCATGTGGTAAAAAAAAAAATCTGCCAAAATGTACATAAAGCATCACACTCATGTCTGGCCAAGGTGGCATATATATAGCACCACCACTTGGGAGGCTGGAAGCCACATGGGAAGCATGGATTTGGTTCCCAAGGCAAGTCGAACACACCAGGCATGTTGTGTGGACCTGTAATCCTATGTAGTTGGGAAGTGGGGCAGGAAGGCTATGATAGAGCAAGACCCTGTCAAAAATACTCATCTCTCTCTCCCTTCTTTCTCACTCTCTCTCTCATAAAGGAAAAACACACAGGCATCAGGCTCAACAGCACAACGCTAACTTTCTACTCCCTGCTAGAGAGTAAACATGAAAAAGGGTGCCACTTCCACCACTTTCATTCAATACTATCCTGGAACTCCTCATCTGTGTAATAATAAAATAAGGAGAAAGTAAGGTCATAAGAATTGGAAAAGAAGAAACAAGACAAATATTAACCCAGACAGGAGGGTAGTGAACATAAGAAATTCCAAATGAACCTACACACAAATTATTAGCAATGGCCAGTAGATTTAGCAAAACGACATGCAAGGTCATCAAAATTAAAAGTGTAATCATATTTTGTATACCAGGAACAAAAATTTAAAAAGCATTTTTAAAATTATAAAATTTATACTGGCATCAAAGTAATTATCAGCCAGCCGTGGTGGTACAGCACTCTGAGATGCTGAGGCCACAGGGGATGGTCCTGGTTTTACAACCTGAGGGCCTCCCTGGACACATCAGGAGGTGTGTACAATTGTGTGTGCAACTGTGATCCTGACTGACTGAGGCTGGGATTGGATCATGATGTAAAAACCCTGTGGTGGGAGACTGGCAGGTGCCGTGGTGGTCAACGTCCTGGACTCCCACATAGCAGACCATGGTTCGAGTTCTGGATCTGGCAGCTTGCTTTTTCACTTTCGCTTTTTCCTTGTCTCTGGTCAAATTAAAAATAAATAAGTAAATAAATTAAAATAAATAATTATTTTTTAAAAATCCCCAAAACCCCATTGGGGTAGCTGTCTCTCTCTGTCTCTATCACTGTCTGAATGAAATAAATAAGCATTTAAAAATAATTATTTATTTAACCTAATTTATTTATTACTGTTTTTCAATTTTACCAGCGAGAGAGGGAGAGTGAGAAAGCAAGCTACCAGGTCTGGGACTTGAACCGCAGTTGGCCATGTGGAAGTGTAGTACCTTAATTACCATACCATCTGCTGGCCCCAATAAATAAACTTTTAACAAAATATGTTAATTACCACAGGGAAAACTAACAAAAGACATGTAAGTCCCTGTACTGAAAATAAAAGACAGTTGAAAAAAAGAGTTGAGGAACCAGTAGATGAAGTAATGGCTACGTCACTGGAATCCCATATAGTCAACCGTGGTTCAAGTCCCAGATCCAGTGGCTTAAACTCATGCTGGGCATGTGTGCATGCATGCCCAAGATCCCGAGAGGAGAATGGAGGAGAAGGAATTGCGGCGTGACCATACCCTCAGGCGGTGATTTCTCGCTTTCTGTCTCTGTGTCTCTGTTTTTCTGGCAAGTGCATGCACCCTATAGCAAAAACCTCTCCAAAAAAAAAAAAAGGAGTTGAAACAAATTGAGAACATTACAATATTCACTAATTAGAATATTCCAGATGTCAATTGTTTCCAAATTGATCTGTAGATTTGAAGGAATCCTGAAGAAATTCCAGGAGAGGGTTTTGAAAAATTAACAAATACCAAAGTGTATCAAACATATGTAGCCAAGAGTAGCCACAGCAATCTCGAAGAGGCAGAATAAATTTGGAAGCCCTACACTGCCAGATATCAAGAACTGTCATAAAGACTTAGAGCCCCATACTAAAGACAGTACATAGCCCATCACCTGCCACACATCATTTCTGTTCTTGTCTTGTCTTGTGTGAACAGAGAATTAGAATCATACTGTGAATTTGGGAACTTCAAGAGCCCTGAGGTGCATATGAAGGAAACAGTCTTACCTTGGGAATGAAGTAGTTTCTGAATTTAATGTCACAGGTCACTGCATGGGGCAGGCTGGTGGGAATGAGGTCAATGAATCGCTGGACCTCATGTATCATGGCATCCGTGTAGGGCATGTGACTCCTGTCCTGCCTGCAGGGGCTCCGGTGTCTGCCGATCACATGGTGGATCTCTTCCTGGACTTTAGCTGACAAGACACAAATAAGAGCTGATGGAAAGGAGGAAGATGACACATTTGTCATAGCCATTCAGAGTTACAGGAAGCATGATAAGGGTGTTTATAATCATAACCCCAAATGCCCAAACGGATTGTAAACGTGACCTATGTGCCTAGGGCACACCTAGACATGTGAACGGAATGGCCATAATATAGATATGTGTGGCGCTCCTACAAGCCAGATACTAAACTGCTTGTGTGCCCACCTCCATATTAAGCATACATAACTATTACAAATAGAAATGATGAAGTGTTTCAAAATGAAAATGGTTATAGCATAATTAACTCAAGAATTATCAGGCCACTCAGTGGTGTGGTGATTAAGGTGGCTAGATCCCATCCATCCATGCTTGACTGTATTTTAAGACCACCTGGACCCGGTGGCTTGAAAAGTATACCAGATGTGTGTGTGCATGCCCAAAATTCTTTTTTTTTTTTTTTTTTGAGAGGTTTTTGCTATAGGACACGTCTGCTTGCCAGAAAGACAGAGAGACAGAGAGACAGAAAGCAAGAAATCACCCCCCAGGGGAAATGGCCACACTGAAATCCCTTCTCCTCCATTCTCCTCTCGGGATCTTGGGCACACATGCACACATGCTGGTGTGAGTTTAAAGTCACTGGGTCTGGGACTCGAACCATGGTTGACTACATGTGAGTCCAGCGACATAGCCATTGGACCAACTGTTGGTCCCCATCAGGTTCTAAAATTCCACGACCCTGTTTCTTAGGATGGATGTTAGTTTTCATTCACTCTGTTGGACACTTCTAGAGGATTTTCTATCTAGATGGCAGAAATGTAGGTCTCCGGCCAGCCCTGGAGCGCAGCAGTAAGTGTTGGTTGAGAGAGAGCCTACATGGCCAACTGCAGTTTGAATCCTGACATCAGCAGCTTAAAAAACATGCTGAGTGCCCAAGATCTTGAGAGAAATGGAGGAACCAAGGATTGCAGGGTGGTCATATTCCCTATTAGAGGGTGTGCATTCACTCTCTCTCTTGTTCTCTCTCTAATGAGTGCACATTTTTTGCAAAAAAAAAAAAAAAAAAAAGACCTTTCCTTTAGATCTGGGCATTCTCCAGTATAACTCTCGTTGCTAGTCTTAGGATCCAGGACGGTGAAAAGAGCTGAGTCGCAGCCAGCAGGTGGTGTGGTGGTTAAGCACTGGAGTCCCAGATCTGGTGGTATGTATTCTCACTCTTTCTTTCTCTCTCTCTGGTGAGCACACATGCCCTGTAGCAAATTAACAAAACAAAACAAAACAAAACAATGATAATGATAAATAAAATTAAATAAATAATCCTTTAAAAAAAACCTGAGTCTCTTAATTCAAGAAATGTATCCTGTCAGCTCTCTCCCTCTTACCATGTTTTGGCATAGTGTCCCTGGCTACAGGGCCTCTTAGGTACAGTTTCTTTAGAGAGTAAACCTCTTTCTGAGAGAGGAAAATAGCTCTTTGCTCAAAGGAATTGAGAGGAAACCTGCGAGGGTCCTATTTTCAGTCTCAATTTCCTTGAAATTATTTGACACCAATATTTCCAACTACTGAGCTCTAGAGGGATGTTAGAGCAGGCTGGCCTTTCTGCATGAATGGATCTTCTGACAGTGAGGTTAGAGCCTCACCCTTTCTGCTTAGTTTGTTCTGACCCCTCTGCTGTGTTTCAGAAATGTGTTGAGAACCTACTGACTGCTTTCACCATTGCTCTTTTCCCATTTTAAAAGGACTAATTGTCATTTGCAATTACTAGGTTATCGGAAAAGTCCCGACACATTCTTGTGTAAAAATTATGTCATGACTTTTCCAACTACCCAACACATTACAATTATTTCAATGGGATCTCAAAACAGGAAATGACAGTATATGCTTCTAACTTGGCATGCATAACTGGAACTAATTTCTAAAATATAGTTCATAAAAGATAAAATTACTGAATGAAAGAAAAGCTTTTATCTGAGAAAATATGTTTGCTAGAAGCATATTTCTAGAAAATTCCTTTAGGTACATCATCTAAGATAGCAATACCTTTGAAATGAATATAACCTTTTTTTAAAATTGCCCAGAGACCATATGTGCTCATCAGAGAGAGAGAGACAGAGAGAGGGAAGGGAGAAAGCTCCCCTCAGTGGGACACTGTCACACCACAACCCCTTCTCTTCCAGTTCTGTATTTTGGGAATTTGGGCATACATGCACACATGCCTGGCATGTTTTTCAAGCCACCAGGGCCAGAATTTGAACCATGGTCAGCCATGTGGAATCCAGTTTCCTTAAACATTAGGCTATGGGTCAGCCCAAACTAGCCTAAGAAGACTTCTTAGTTGTAGAAATTTTTCCTGGCCACCTCACTACATTTCTAGAATTTCTATTTATGCTCTGATAAGGAGAGTTTTCATTGTCTGTACCCAGCATCCTAACACTGCATTTTCAGAATAAAGGAAGATTTCTTCAAAAATATACCTACCATTTAAGGTACCTTCTTGCTAAGGAAACCAACATGCAAACTTTGACCAGTCCATGCACCGACTGCTGCCCGCTGCAGATCACCTCCCTGTGGGGTGCAGACATGCACCAGAGCTCTACTGCTTTGCTACCGCCCACACTGCCCTTCACTTCTCTCAGCCACCCTCCCTATTGTGCAACATGGTCCAATTCTTATCCCTTCATTCAACTTGGACACATTTCAGCTGTGTCACAGATTTCCAACAATGAAGTGTCTCTAAGAGAAAGAAGATGGAGGACGTTGGCAGTGTCTTACCGAATTTCTATTCTGAAGTTCACTTTGCTCACCATCCGTGGTCATACCTGTAACCTCTGGGTGCTTTAGCAGGAGCAGGAGGGCATATCTTAGTGTGGTGCTTATTGACTCTGTCCCAGCTCCAAATATATCAGACACAGTGATTAACAAGTTTTCAAGAGTAAATTCAGACTGTGGTTTGTTCTTTTCCTAGGAATGAGTTGATGTAATTATTTGACAAATTAATCTCCCATGGAATTTAATGACAATAAATTACAAAATAGAGTATTGTTATAAAAATAAGCCAGCATAGACACTGCAGCCTGTAGTACAAGACAAGGCTGTGCCAGCAGATGCTGTGGAGGTTAAGAGGGATCCCACGTGGCCAATTGTGTGGTTTGAGTCCCAGACCTTGCAGCTTGGAAATCATGCAGGGCATGTGTGTGTGTGTGCTCAAGATCCCCAAGGAAGAATGGACAAGAAGGTATTGTGGTGTGGCAATCCTCTCTGGGGGATAGTTTCTCACTTCTCTCTCTCTGTCCATGTCTTTCTCTTTTTGGCAAGCATACATGCCCTATAGCAAATACTAAAAGAAAAGAAAAGGCTACTGTGTGGTGTGCTAGACTGCATGCTAGTTGACCCACTCTTCATTTCCTGCCCTTCACCTCTTGCTTGCCTCAAAATCCATCCACCAGCCTGTGTGCAGCTAGGTGATACATGCAGTGTACTTCTTACCAGTGAGGTAACAACTAAAGCCTGCTAGTACCACTTCCTCTCTTTCCTTTTATTTTTAACTCAAAATGCAGAGATGAAGGTATAGGTAAAGCAGACACTGAGACAGCAGGATACAAGCAAGGAGATGAATGCGTCTCAGAGAATTTTGGTAAAGGAAGCCAATTGAGTTTGCGATGTCTCAGGGCTACTGGCAAACCATAGACTCTTGCACATAAGCTAAGTAAGCTCATCATTTTAAAAGTCATTAGCTGTTTTCTCTTATTTGTAGACAAACCCAATTTTAATTTATAGTAATAGGTATATAGTGGCCATATCATGGAAGACGTAATAAGCTTAAATAAAGAATACATAGCTCTGGGACAGCTGGTAGTATACTGTTTAAGGCAGCTGAATCCCACATGGAGGACTATGCAGTTCAAGTCCCATACCCTGCAGATTAAAAAAAACAAGCAAGGTGCATGTGTATGAGTTAATGCTCAACATCTCATGAAGAGAATGGAAAAGAAGGGACTGCAATGTGGCCATCCTCCTGGGAAGGTGCTTTCCCACTTGCCCTCTGTATCTCTCTCTGGTGAATGCACACAGCATATCAAAAACAAACTATAACAAATACAATTATTTTCTGATTAAAAATTTGGTTGAAGAACCAGCAGACGGTGTAATGGTTACCTAGCTGGACTCCCTCAGAGTCGACTGTGGTTTGCATCTCAGACCCAGTGTCTTAAACTTGCACTGAGTGCATGTACATTCATGCCCAAAATCTCGAAAGGATAAGGGATTGTGGTGTGGCCACTTTCCTGGGAAGTGATTTCTCACTTGCTGTCTTTTTGGTGTGAGCACATGTGCCCTATAACAAAAAGTTCCTCTCTAAAAGAAAAAAATGGTTGAGCTCAGAATTACCCACGGACTCATGAGGTTGGAATTGTGCAAAAGCCAATATGGCAGCACATTGTTAAATTATTTATTTAATTTTATTTATTCATTTATTTATTTTAATTTGACCAGAGAGAGACACAGAGGGGGGAGGGGGAGTGAGAAAGGAAGCCACCAGGCCTGGGACTCAAATCATGGTCGGCCATGTGGGAGTGTCCAGTGCTTTAACCACCATGCCTCCTGCTGGTCCCCTACAGCACATTGTAAAATAGATCCCAGAAAAAGTGGGTTCACCAAAGGAAGATGAAACTGGCCACTATGATGCTCCAGATGTCAGGAAATATGCAATTTGGTTTAGGATACAAGTGCAAGAATGAACAGGAATATACAAATTGATGAGGCTCTACAAACATGAAGTCAGTTTGAGTGTCAACTGCCCAGAAGGATAAAAAAGAGCTGGGGCCAGTACATGGCATAGTGGTTAATGCGCTTGACTCCCACATGGTCAAGCACAAGTCGCATCCTGGACCTAGTGGCTTGCTCTCTCACTGTCCACCCTCACCTCTCTCTCACTGTGTTGCTGTGGTCAAATTAAAACATGATAATAATGAATACAATTTAAAAAAATAGAGAACAGGGTTCAGCGTGTCATGGTGGTTGAGGTGCTGGGCATTCCCATATGGCTGAACACAGTTTTAGTGGACCTGGAGGCTTGGCTTCTCACTTGCCCTTTCTCTCTCTCTCTGGTGAATTAAAATAATTATACTAACAATAAATAAATAAAAATTTTAAAAGGGGCCAGTAGGTGGCATGGTGGTTAAGGATGCTGGACTCCCATGGCCTACTGTGGTTTGAGTCCTGGACCTGACCTGGTGGCTTGCTTTCTCACTTTCCCTCTCTCTCTCTTTCTCTCCCTATTCCTCTCTGATCAAATTTTTAAAAAATGGATAAGATTAAATAAAATAATTAAAAATAATAAAATTTAAAAAAACAGAGTAAGGGAAATGCAGATGATGAGGATATATGATTGGCTTCATAGAGCATTCATAAACTGAAAATCAGGATAAAGAAAGAACTCCTTAAGAACAGTTAAGATCAGGGCCAGCTGGTGGCATGGTGGTTTGGGTGCTAGACTCCCACATGGACAACCGTGGTCTGAATCCTATACCTGGTGGTTCACTTTCTCACTTTGCTTCTCTTTCTCTGGTGATCAAACTTAAACATAATAACAATAATTTTTAAAGATATTTTTATTCATTTATTTTGTTATTATTATTTATGTTTTAATTTTACTAGATAAAGACAGAGAAAGAGAGAGGGAAAGTTAGAAAAAAGCAGCCAGGTCTAGGATTCAAACCCCAGTTGGCCATGTGAGTGTCTAGCACTCTAACCATCACACCACCTGCCAGCCTTACAATAATATTTATTTATTTATTTATTTTTAGAGTTTTTTTTGCTATAGGGTGTGTGCACTTGCCGGAGAGACAGAGAAAGACAGAGAGATAGAAAGCGAGAAATCATCCCCCAGGGAGAATGGCCATGCCACAATCCCTTCTCCTCCATTCTCCTCTTGGAGATTTTGGGCACGCATGCACATGTGCCCTGCATGAGTTTTAAGCCACCAGGTCTGAGACTCAAACCACGATGACTACATGAGAGTTCAGTAACATAACCATTATACCATCTGTTGGTCCCCAAAATAATAATTTTTTTAAAAAGAAAAGTTAACATTGATGTAGGACTGAAGGGATCCTATGATACATAAATGGCAGGAAAAGGTTAACTTTAAGTATTGACTAAAGGATATCATATATAGATAAAGATTTTTATAGTATATTATATGTAATATGTATATTATGTATTACTCTGATTTGAGTGTTGTGTTTCCACCAAATTTAATGCTGTAATTTGACACCCAGTGGGGCAATGTTGTGAGGTGGGCATTGTGGGAGACATTTTGGACATGGTGAAAGATCGCTCATGAAAAGATGAAGGCCACCTCTCATGAAAAGATGAAGGTCACCTCTCTTTCTCCCTCTCTTTCTCTCCAGTTGCCCACTTTGCTTTATACGTCTCTCAGTCATGTTATGCCAGAGGTAGCTCCAGAGACTGGACAGATGCTAACCCCATTCCAGCCCCAAGAATTATGAGCCAAATAAACCTCTCTTATTTATAAATTACCCAGTCTTAAGTATTTCTGTTATAGCAACACTATAAAGGTCTAAGACAGAAAACTGGCATCAAGATGGGGTGTTTCTGTTCAGATACCTGGAGGATCAGGCTAGAAAAGATTAAATGCAGTGAGGGCAACTCTGTTGGAGGTCAGAAGAAAAGAGAAGCCAACATTGGACCTTCTCAGAGATCGGTGGAGTGGTCCTGGCCAGAGTGCTGACAGAGAAATATGGATAGTAAAGGCCATTCTGAGGAGGCCTCAGATGGACATGGCAACTTATTGGGAGCTGGAGGAAAGTGTCTATGTCTGTGTCCTAAGGCTCTGTGGAGGGTCAATCTTAATTTCAGTAGAAGTGCACATCTGGCTGAAGAAATTACTAAACAACAAAGCACTCAGGCTGCTTCAGGGTTATATCTAACTGAATATACTGAGATGAGAGTGGGAAAAAATTACTTAAAGACAGAATATAAAACTAAAATGAAAGTACAACAGAAAAATTGGTAAAATTCTTAGCCCGGCTATATGGTTGAGAATGAAAGAGCATTTCCAGAACAAAAAATTGAAGGTGTAACCCAGTGACTAGTAACTAACCATTGCCCCTGAACTGGGAGACAGATAACTGGATACTGAGTATCACAATTTATCAAAAAGAAAATGAGGAGAAGAAACATTACACTAGGTTAGAAATTTCCAAATCAAATTGACAAACTGCCAGAAGCTTAGTGTGGACAGGCTTGAAAGTTAAAAATTCCAGGTACCCCCCAGTATAGAGGATACCTACACTCCTTTGAGATTTTTTGCAGGACTTCAACTAGGTACTCATAGTGATTATCAACAAAACAAAACAAACAAATAAGCAAAAAACCTGCCTTCGTGCATCTGGCAGAGGAATCGATCACCTTGATTTGAAAAACAAAGACATAACAAAAAAAGAGAAATGCAGACCAATTTCCCTGATGAATATAGACACAGAAATCTTCAACAACATGCTAGCAAACAAAATCCAACAATACATTAAAAAGATTTTTTATCATGACCAGGTAGGAGTCATTCCAGGCATGCAAAGATGGTTAAATGTTCACAAAACAATAAACATTACATATCACATAACACAAGGAAAACTAGCAGTCATATGATTATAAATTGATGCAAAAAAAGGAGTTTGATAAAGTATAACATAATTTCACGATTAAAAACTGTTAATCAAATAGATATAGAGGTACATTTTTTGACATAATAAAGGCCATACATGACAAACTCACTGCCATCATCAAACTGAGCAAAAAAAAAAAAAAAAATTGAAGGTTTTCTTAAAGCGTAGTAAGACAGGATGAATACTCATATTTCCAAAGGAAGTATATGAATGGCCAAAAAGCACCTGAAAAGATGTGTAACAATATCAACCATCCAGGAAATGCAAATCAAAGCTTCAGTGAGACCACTTCACACCATTAAGGTGGATATAATCAAACCTAAAGATAATGACAAGTGTGGATATGGATACGGAGAAACTGAAACCTTCATACACTGTTGGTGGGAATATAAAATAATGCAACTCCTTTTCTGGCTATGTTTCCTTCTAAGAGTTTTCTAGTTTTTGCTCTTTTGTTTATCTTGTATTCAATTTTATTGAAAAAGGAGAGAAGAGGAAACGGAGAAAGCAAGACACTAGGCAACATTTGGGAGTCCAACACCTTAACCACCATGTCACCTGCTGGCTCCTCTTTTGTTTGTTTTGATCAATCACATTTCCTCAAGAGATGAAACAAAAAGGTCCAATATAACACAACAATTATACTCCTAGGTATATACCCACAAAAATAAACACATAAGTGCACACAAAAACTTGGACACAAATGTTCATAGAAGCATTATTTATAATAGCCAAAAATTAAAGTGAGATGTTTCTTAGTAAATAAGTAAATAAATAAAATGTGCTATATTCATATAATGGACTATTACTCATTCTTGAAAAGGAATGATGTATTCATACATGATGAAGAACCTTGAAAAGATGCTAATTGAAAAAAGACAATATGGAAGGCCACATTTTAAACATTCTGTTTCTATGACCAGTCCACAGTAAGAAGATCTACAAAAACAAAACACAGATTAGTAACTCCCCAGGGCTGGAATGTTTGGGGAGAAATGAGAGATAACTACTAAAGGGTTTCTTTTGAGGATGATGAACAAGCTCTGAAGTTGATGGTGATGATGGTTTCACAACTGCGTGAAGAATACTAAAAATGACTGAATTGTGCACTTCCAGTGGTGCAGTGGTATGATGTATTAATTTTATCTCAATATATCTGTTACTAATAGTAACAATAATAAGCTAATCTTAATACAAGAGTGAGATCCAGAAAATAATGAATTTTTTTCTTTTTAATTATTGCTCTAGGGCATCTGCATGCATCAGAGAGACAGAGGACAGAGAGAGAGAAGGAAAGTGAGAAATCACTCCCTGGTGAGATGGCTGTGCTACAATCCCTTCTTCTCCATTTTCCTCTTGGAATTTCGGGCATGCACACACATGTGCCCAATGAGTTTCTCAAGTCACTGAGTCCAGAACTCAAACTGGTCAGCCATGTGGGATCCAGCTGCCTTAACCACCCTACCACCATCTGACCCATAATATTGTTTTTAAGTGCAATATTCATGAAGTAGCTATTTGAAATCGAAATACTAAGAGGCTTCAATACCTTAAGCAAAAGACTCCAATTGTGTGCAAAAGATGGAGAACTCATGTAGGTTCATTATTGGAAAGTGTCCACACATTTAATTAGATTCTCAAATAAATAGGTCTCCCCCAGAAAGGGATAAGGATCATTGCCTTAGCAGAGAAGAAGGCAAAGAATATAAGTAATCTGCATCTTCAAATCATTTCATCTTCTGACTTCATTCCACCACAGCACACGACTTGAGAACACAGCTTGGATGTCATGGATACGTCTTTAAATGGTATCTCTTGTGGCTTCTTCAACTTCTTAAGCACCTGTTAATTGGTTTCTCACATCTTTTCAGTGCTAAAAAGTGCTCAAATAAAATAATAGTGGTCTCAGAAAAATGAGTTCTCATCTCCACAGTTAACTTCTTTCCGTGTTTTCTGGAGTTGACCTCAACCTATTTCAGCAAGAACTTTATACCCATAAGAACGTCCTCATGGTATCGCAATTATCCTTCTCACACAATTGTTTTCCATGGAGGCATTTTATTTGTATGTGTGTATTACATCCCTAGAAAAGGGATCCCAGGATTTTCCCTCCAGTATATTTCTATGTTGATTCTTCGTGGTCTGTGATGCCAGTTCAGGTTGCCTTTGAAATGAAACCGAACTGAAGGGATAGGAGCAGATATGCCATTTCTTTAGATGTTTGCATTGCACATCAAATCGGAGGGTGACCACTCCACACATGCTCATCCTGCCTGAGTGGTTCACAAACATTTTTCCATGCCTGTGGTCACTGATGATTTCAAATTCGTCAATGTAACCATGCCTCATCATCACGGTTAGAAACCAGACGACTTTGGAGCCCAGCCTAATAACCTGGCATTGGCCTTTCCTTTTGTCTTGATGATTCTTTTTTGTTTTGTTTTGAAGATTTTTGCCATGGGGTGTGTGTACTTGCCAGAGAGGAGACAGAGGGAGACAGTGAGAGAGAAAGTGAGAAATCACTCCCTGGGAGGATGGCCACGCCAAAGTCCCTTCTCTCTTCTACTCCTGGGATTTCGGGCATACTCGCGCACATGCCCTGTGTGATTTTTAAGCTGCCAGATCCAGGACTCAAACCACTATTGACCGTGTGGGAGTCCAGTGTGAGAACCACTACACCACCAACTGGCCCCTGGATGACGCTCTTGAGAGCATCAGGCAGGACACTCATGTGCACCATTATGGGGGCACGGAAAGATGGCAGAAAGAACAGGGTTTTTGGTTCATTTTACTTACTTATTTTTTAATCAATTTTTTGCTATAGGATGCAAAAAACAGAGTCAGGGCTGAGAAAGAGAGAGAGAGAAAGTGAAAAATCATCACCCTCAGGGGGAATGGGCATACCACAATCCCCTCTCTTCCATTCTCCTCTCAAGATTTTGGGCATGCATGCACATGTGCCCGATGTATTTTTCAGGTCACCAGTTTGAGACTCAAGCCATAGAGCTGGCAATATTGGATCTAACACCTTAACCACCATGCCACTTGCTGGCCCCAGTACACAGTTTTTGACTTGACTCTTCCATCATTTAAATGAATAATCCAAGTCTTTTCCTCCTTGGTTAAACTTCTCTCATAGGATAAGCCCCTATAATTTGGCTCCCATCTAAAGCTATTCACTATAAAACTCCGCAGACACAAAGTCTCATACCATTCAAATACTCCAAATACTTCTCAAGGATATTTTCCACTTCCCAATTTGATCTGTTCCATTTCTTCTAAAATGTTGCTTCTACTTTGATTCCATGGTACCCCCTAATTGACTCTCTTCCTACATCCCTGACAATATGATAAGACAGACAACACTGACTTTATTTTAGACTCATTTGTATTTCAATCACCCAGACTCTCATCAAGGCCAAATCTGAAGAAATAAAAAATCTCCAACTAGTCCTTGAGCTCTATTCTCGTCATATAGATTGCTCTAACGGACTCACAAAGAATAATTTTCCCTCATAATTATCGGAACTTATGTTTTTCCTAGCTCCTCTTTACTGTTCAGATCAGAACCTTCCAGGTCAATGTTCATGCTCACAGGTTACTTGACAGACACCAATCTACACTTCCTAGTCTGTCGAAATTCCTTTCTGTTTTACACTCAGTTAAAATTTCCCTTGTCCTCCCACCTGAAGTTTTTACCATCACACACTTCTGAACCTCTGTGTGCATGTTGAACCCATTTGAAATCCCCTCTCCTGTCCCTCACTGCATATATTTCAAGAGCTGCTCAAACTTCAGAACATGAAGGAAGCCCACCTTGGTCAGATCTTGGCTTCTCATTCTTTCATATATTGACTATAAATAATTATTTCCATCTTCATTCTATGACTCAATTCTTTGTATTTTTAAATTTATTTGTAATTGTTCCTATTTCACCTGAGGTGTACTTTCTGCCCTCCTCAAGCTAGATTATTAGGACCTAAATAACAGTCATATTTAACAATTTAATTTTTTCTGTGATGCTAAGTGTAGATCCATACATACAAGAGGTATTTAAAGTGTTTATCAAACATTTCTTGCCTGGCCATTTGAACATCGCTAGTAGCTACAGAAAGAACCTATGAACCATAACACAAAATGCACATGCAATTGAATAACTGAGCTGTTAACACTTTACCTGTTCCATTTTGATCAGGAAACAATCGATGAAGTCCCGAGGATTGTTAATATCCAGGGACACTTGGTGTTCTTTTACTCTCTCCAAAATGTAATTTCTTATATAAGAAATATTTTTAAGTAATTTTGTATGACTCCCTGGGGAATAATCTATGAGCACAGGGAAATTAGAGCAGATCTAAAAGACAAAAAAAAAATTAAATAAAAGTATTTAATAAAGATGTGTGTGTGTACCTTATATCATATATGCTAAGTCCAGATTCAAAACTTTAGCTTTAGAAATTAAAAAACAAACAAAAAAAAGGTGCTCACTATCTTGAAGAGAACATTTTTACTGTACACATATATTAATTTTCTATGCTTATAGAAATATTTGAGGAAGATAACTCTGACTAGAGGATGAGAGAGATGATAATTATTTCCCATAACCATACGTCATTTTTAGAGATAAAAAAATTCATATCAGTTGGGACAGAAAACGAGGTTTCCTCTTAGGATCCTATGCCACTCATCACGGGCAGAGGCTAGAGAACTGTAAGAGGTGGTTATTGTGGCTGGAAGATGTAACTTGCCCAGAGAAGGACTTTGAAAGAGACCCTGATGCCTGATGGTACCCTTCTGAAACTCAAACAATTCTGCAGAAATGTCTGCCTTGTGTTATAATTGCAGTGTGTAAAATTCCTGTTTTTAAAGAGTTTGCCTACAGCTGATTTGCACACCTGAAATCCTTGTGTTCTGCAAGTTGTGGAGCTGGAATTGAAATGTTTTACTCTTAACCATGGCTTCAATTTAACATTTGGTGCTTCTTGGATTGAGTTTAACATGTTGAGGCTTTCCAATTTCATTTGTGGTAAAGGCTCTAGCATTTTCTATTTCTATGCAAATTTCTCAAAGCAGAATTGTTTGTATGGTCCTCTTCTGCCCTCACAGAAGGCAGAATTTCTTTCAAGTGTAACTGAGGCATCAGTTGTTCTTTGGCTGTGGCCCTTAAACCATGATTATTAATTTTCTAAGTTTATGACTTGGGTTTGCAAATTTTACTTGTTTGTCGCATTGATGTTCCCATGTCGTAATTTTTGGTTTGGTTGTAAAAAAGTTAACCCTGGGCTGAAATTAGTATATAAGTTTTTTTTTTTTTAAACTAGTCCCAGATTTTAAAATTTGTAATAAAATGGAAATCATTGGTTTTGGTTTGAAAAAACAATTCTTTTCAACACTCTGGAAGAGCAAATGGCATGAATTTCTGCTGTTCTAACTCTGTAGGTAAACCCAGAAGTTAAGAGAGTTTCAGTGTTAGTTTTCTGCTGAAGTGTGCAGGGATGGTCTGCTGTTTCTCACTTGTATCAAGGAGTCTTGGAAATAGAATAATTATTTTAGGAGCAAAAGGTTTTGAAAATACCACAGAATTTAATTGACCAGTTTATGGGGAAAGTCATGGAAGTGACTTCTCTAAGGTGGCGTCACTTTCTTGTGGAAAGAATGTAGGGCCCGCCCGTTCAGAATGGAGTAAAATTGTGTTTGTTTACGGGTCCTACACTGGAAGCCCAATTATTTTGTAATCCTAACCCAGTTACCTGGTCACCTAGGATCCTAGGTCAAGCATCAAATGCTCATATTTCACTCAGAATTTCCTGGCAGGCTCGGTGCTCTCATTTTCCCTCATTGATATCCCAAATTAGGATATTTCCACCAAGTAATTTGATGATGTGGTCTCTAAGGGTCGATTAAAGGGAAACTCTTGTGGATAATGGAAGACTTCGACAAAGGCTTGGATGTCCATTGAGAGCTATCACCAAGATGCTGTATGGCTTTGGAGTTTGGAAGAAAACTACTGATCAGGAAGCCAGTGGACTTCAATGTCATCTCTATATTGGGCACTCAGTTCCTTGCGTAATAAAAGGTTCCCTGTATCTTGCCCAGACATTTGCTCTGTGGCACTAAAGTCTGGGCAGGACTGGAGTATCCAAATATCGAATTCACAGTCTGTCCATTAGAATTTGGGACTTGTCAGAGCAAAAAAGCACAAATGGTTTCTTGGGAAGAAAAAGTCTTGGTCTCACCTGTGTCCATGGGGAGCTCAGAATTTTGACATTTTCATTCAACATTTCCAGCAGTTCAAGGAAAGCCTTATCTTTATAATCAAAACCATTCTGGAAAATAATGGAGCAGATCACATTGCAGGGAGCACAGCACAGGACAAAAGTTGGATCACAGGGTGAGGCTAAAGGATTGGAAACATTTGAAAAACACCATTACAATGTACATATAAAAGTATTTGCCTTTGAGATAACAGGAAAAGATCACTTTAGAACCCCAGAAATTCCCTTAAGAGGATAAAGTCAGTATGCATAGAATCAGCTTATCACTTCCACCATAAACTTGAGTTGACCATCACATCGCAGTTAGTTTAATAGTGTTGTTCTCACTATTGCATTTAAATCTACTTTCTTTAAACTACTCTAACCCAAGTTATCTCTTATTTTAAAGAGTAAAACACATTTAAAGAGGTCACTTATATATTTTTTTTAATTTTTTAGTTTTTTGTCATAGGGTGCATGGAGAGGAAGTAAGAAATCACCCCCCAGGGGGATGGGCATCCTACAGCAGTCCCTCTTCCTCCAGTTTTCTCTTAGGATTTGGGGCATGCAAGCACACGTGCCTGACATAATTTTCACACTATCCATTCCAGGATTCAAACTACTCAGTTAGTCATTTGGAATCCAGTGGTTTAACCTCCGTTAAACCAGCTACTGGCTGACTCTAAAGAGGTCACTTTTTTTTTTTTAATTGTTTGCCATAGGGCACATGCACTTGCCAGGGAGAGAGACAGAGAGAGCTGGAGAGAGGGAAAGTGAGAAATCACTCCCTGGGAGAGTCCATGCCACAATCCGCTCTCCTCCATTCTCTTTCTGGGATTTCAGGTGTCCATGCACATGTGCCTGGTGTGATTTTTAGGCCACCAGGCCCAGGACTCAAACCATTGTTGTATGCCATGTGGGAATCAAATACTTTAACCCACCATGCCACCTGCTGGCCCAAACTGAACTGGTTTCTAAGTTTTCTGAGAAAGGTTTATTTTAGCTTGTGTGAGGAAAGTAATTTGGTACACCTAGAGGATTTCTTTGTATGTGTGTCATTCACAGTCAAAATCTGATTTTTAGTCTTTATTTTCACTTCATTTGGAAGAAAAGTTTAAAAACAGGGTAATTTGCACCTAAGCTGAAAATCAGAGTCATAGTGAAAAATGCTTCATAGCTCCACAGGGCTGACAATGAAGAGTAAATAATTATCATAAAATTCTAACACCAGGGTTGGTAGGCGGTGTGGTGGTTAAGAGCACTGGACTTCCACATGGCTGACTGCAGTTCAAGTCCCGGACTTGGCAGCTTGCTTTCTCATTTTATCTCTCTCTCTCTCACTTTGTCCCTTTCTGGTAAAATAAAATAAATGAATAAATAAATAAAGTTCAATAAAATAATGTTAAATTTCTAACCCTAATTCCATTAAGGTAGATAGGTAGAGATAAGCAAAATTGAAATGAACCAACAACTTAGGATAGGGAACAATAATCGTTGAAATCAGGTTGAATGGGTCATTCTATGACTTAGCATTTGTGTACTTTGCAGAATTATGCAAAATACATGGCTCAGAGTAAGTAATGGGTGATTAATCAATGGTGATAGTTTTTAAATTGTACCATATTTAGTAGAAAACTAATGATAAGACTTCACATCATTACTGGTGGAAAATACATGGACCACCCTTGGGAGAAAACCCCAGACATGTCAGCGAGGCTGACTATACAAACTAAGGACCAAGTTAACAAAAACACGTCAGTTGGTTCAGCTTTGTAAGAGTGTAAGGTTATTTTCACTGTGAAACACTTAACAAATATTTCACAGTTATACTTGTGGAACAGGTAACCCACAGTTACACTACAGGAGAAACCTTGCCCTTTAATGCTTTAAGAACATAAAACTCAGAGTGGATGATGATGCAGTGGCAAAACAAGATGCTCTGGTTCTGAGTTCTTACCCAGAGACCTCCATGAGTACATCAGGCATGCCAGTGCCCATGAACAGGCGCTGGCTAAGGCTGGGGTGAATTGCTGCATCAAGACCTTGCCAAGGGTGCTCTCTCTGTCTCTGTTTCTCTTGTTCATGGAATAAGCTTTTACAGAAGAAAAAATCAAATGAAGCCTCTTCCTTTATCTACCTTCATGATGTAATGAATTGAAAACAAAGAAACAAAGCTGGACAGACTGGGATAAGTGGCCTTCATGCCCCCCTTCGTATGCACCGTCATGCCTGTACACGCACACCAGAGATACGCAATGGCTCCCTTGGCTCTCTGCTTCAAAATCTCCCTCCTCCACAGGAGAACTGACAACCATCCCCCATAAAGAAAGACGTGTCTGCCCCTGAAATGTTTCAAGATCGTCATTAGAAAAGAGGGCAGTCTGTCAAGGTCAGTGACACAGAGTGAAGAGTTACCTACCCTGGGTTTTTCTCAACTCTTTCACAAGGCGTTGGGCTTCCTCTTGAACACGCTCCTCAATGCTCTTCTTCCCCATACCGAAATTCCGCAGAGTCATGAGAGAAAAGCGCCGAGTCTCCTTCCACAGTTTCCCATTGCTGAAGACGACTCCTACGGGAAGGGGAAACAGAAACTAGGAGATCCCAGGCAAGGAAGAGGAGGGTGACAGGAGGCAGCCACACCAATAGGTAAGCTCTGCTTCTGGAGCTTTTTATGTTTCTGTTTTACATGCCTCCACTCCCATCGCCACTGCCCAACACATGCACATGTACAAATATGCATATATTTACCAAATCCCTTATTAGCTCTGTTAATTAAGGGGAAAAAACCTCTTCCAGAAAACTCTTCTGCATGATCATTCAGGGCTTCCTTTATTGCTTCATATCCATGCAACACCACTGTCGGCTTCATGCCAAAATATGCAGTGAACACAGGGCCATAGACTTTGGATAACTGAGAATAAAAAACAAATAATACCAAAAAATTCTCTATTTTATGTACATATTTTGTGTAATTCAGACTGATATTACTTGTACTTTTTAATTTTTACTCTGCCATACACAGCTTCAAATATTTCTAAATTTTATTAAGAAATATTGTGATAATTAGCATAGCTGCACTTTGGATGGCTTGTGGTATGCCATGCAATAGCTCAGACAGTTCATACAAAATACTGCAATTAACCCACATGTCAACACATCATGTGTGTGTGTGTGTGTGTGTCTATGCATGTATATATTTGCACTGTTTTACAAATAAAGGAAGTGAAGTCAGAGAATTAAAATATTATTTGAAGTGTACCGTGGTTAATAAATAGAAGATCCTAATTTGAATCCAATGCTTTATGATTCTCCAGTGCCACCCACCTCTGGACCAATACCCAGCTGGTGCTTCAGGATCGCCAGTGGAGCTTTTTCAGAGGGTTTTTGATTCAGTAGTCCAGTGATGCATACTAGAAAGCTATACATATATTTTTTTGAGAGGTTTTTGCTATAGGGCTCGTGCGCTCCCCAGACAGACAGAGAGAGACAGAGAGACAGAAAGTGAGAAATCACCCCCCAGGGGGTATGGCCACGCCACAATCCCTTCTCCTTCATTCTCCTCTCGGGATCTTGGGCACACACGCACACGCACCCAGCATGTTTTAAGCCACTAGGTTTGGGACGCGAACCACAGTTGACTACGCAGAAGTCCAGCGACATAGCCGTTATGCTAACTGCTGGTCCCTAGAAAGCTACATATATATATTTTTTCTTTTTTTGGAGAGGTTTTTGCTATAGGGCGCGTGCGCTCACCAGAGAGACAGAGACAGACATAGAGACAGAAAGTGAGAAATCACCCCCCAGGGGGTATGGCCACGCCACAATCCCTTCTCCTTCATTCTCCTCTCGGGATCTTGGGCACACACGCACACGCACCCAGCATGTTTTAAGCCACTAGGTTTGGGACGCGAACCACAGTTGACTACGCAGAAGTCCAGCGACATAGCCATCACGCGAACTGCTGGTCCCTAGAAAGCTATATTTTTAAGAGTGACACCAGGTCAGTCATACTCACCCTGGTTTGAGACTACTGGTTTTACTATCATGTAAAAGAATGAATACCAAAGAGACAATGCTAAAAATTGCAGCCTCTCATGGAAGACCAATCTCTTCCACCCTGAAGCATCCATAGTCCCCAGAGAGCAGCTTTGCACAGAATCCAAAAGGATTCTGTTATCACCCAGTGGGCTCTGAATGATTAATTCTTTCTTGCACTCATTTTTGCTGTCCCCGTCCCCCAATCCATAGCTATTTCATTTTTAAAAACAACTTTATTGGGACCAGCAGGTGGCGTAGTGGTTAGGGCGCTGGGCACCCACATTGCTGACTGCAGTTCAAATTCATGCCGGGTACGTCTGTGTGCACATGTGTGTCCAGAATCTCGGGAGGAGAGTAGAGGAGAAGGAATTGTAGCATGGCCATCAGTCGTGTGGAATGATTTCTCACTTTCCCTCTCACTGCCTCTCTCTCTTTCTCTCTGGAGAGTGCATGGGTCCCATGGAAACAAAACAAAACAAAATCCAAAACAGTTTTATTGAGGTATCAACAAAGAAAAATTATGAATGTATATTTATGGTATAAAATGTGATATTTTGACACATGTATACATTGAAAAATGATTATCACAACTAAGCGAATTAACATATATCACTTCATATTTTTAGTTCACATCTTTTGAAACAAACGTTTTTGTGGAGCCTGTAGATGCAATGGTGGTTGGGGCACTGGTCGACAGTGGTTTCCGTCCCAGACCTGGAAGCTTACTTCTTCAATTTTGCACTCTCTCTCCATCTATCTCTGGTCAACTTGAAAATAATAACAATATAGAAAGAATTAAGTAAAGAATTCTTTTTAAAAACCCACATTTTTGAGTATGGTAGAATGTTTGGTATCTGCCCCCTTACATTTCATTGTTATTACCATGCTCACCATGCTGTACGTTAGGTCTGCAAGAGTTACTTACATTACAACGGAAGATTTGTACCCTGTGACAACTATCTCCCCTTCTTCCCCACACTTCATCTCTGATAACTGGCATTCTAGTTTTTGTTATAATGAATTCGACCTTTTTGTTCGTTTGTTTATATTCTGTGTGCAAATAAAACCACGCAGTATATGTCTTTCTGTGTGGCTTATTTCACTCATAATGATTAAATGCCCTCCAGGTCCAGCCATGTTGTTGCAAATGGCAGAATTTCTCAAGGAATTTCTACTTTCTCAAGGCTGAATAATATTCTATTTTTAAAATAAGTGCATATTTATGTGTGTGTGTCTGCATCATATGTTTTACCAATTCATCCACTGAAGTATTTGTAGGTTGTTTCCATATATTGGCTATTGTGAATAATCTGCAATAAACATGGGAATGCAAACATTTCTTCAGCTATACACACAGAAGTGGGAATGCTAAATGGTACAGTACTTCTCAGTTTTGTTTTCTGAGAAACCTCCATATCGTTTTCCATAATGGCTGTGCTGATTTACATCCCCACCAGCAGTGTGCAATAGTTGCCTTTTCTCCATGTTGTTGCTGACACTTGTCACCTTTTGACTTTTTATGATATTGGTCCTAATGGATGAAAGTGATATCTCATCGTGGCTTTGATTTGCATTTCTCTGATGATTAGTGATGTGGGACATATTTTCATATATTCATTGGCTATATGCATATCTTCTATAAAATATAATCAGGTTATTCTTTTGTTTTGTTTTGTTTGTTTTTGGCATAGAGTTGCTTGAATTCCTCATATATATTAGATATTAACTCCTTATTAGATATTTGGTATATAAATGTTTTCTCTCATTTTATAGGTTGATTTTCATTTTCTTAGAGAAGTTTAAAGATAGTTTTCTTTGCTGTGAAGAAACTTTTTAGTTTGATGTAGTCCAACTTTAGTTTTGCCTTTGTTGCCTGTATTTTTGGTGTCAGATTTTAAAAAGTATTGCCAAGATCAAGATAAAGGAGCTTTCCCCCTTTTCTTTTTTATGGTTCCAGGTTTTACATTTAAGTCTCTAAACCATCTGAATTGAGTTTTGTGTATAGTTTAAGAAAAGGACTCAATTTCTTGTCTTTCTTTCTTTCTCTTTCTTTCTTTCTCTTTCTTTCTTTCTTTCTTTCTTTCTTTCTTTCTTTCTTTCTTTCTTTCTTCTTTCTTTCTTTCTCTTTCTTTTTTTCTTGGTATGTGTATATTCAGTTTTCCTACTATCATTAATCAAAGAATTTATTCTTTCCCCATGTATATACTCGGCACTTATATGGAATATAGTTGCCTGTGTATGTGTGAGTTTGTTTCTGGGTTCTCTGTTCTGCCCCATAAATCTCTGAGTCTGTTTTTACATATGCATGTACATACTGTTTTGATTATTGTAACTTTGTAATATAGCTTGAAATTAGGTAGTGTGATGCCTCTAGACTTTTTCCTGGTTAATTTCGCTTTGGCTATTCTGGATCTTTTGTGATTTCATACAAATTTTAGGATTTTTTTTTCTATTTGGATGAAAAATTCCATTGGATTTTTGACGAGAATTGCCTTAAATTTGTAGATCATTTTGGGTAGTATGGGCATTTTACCAATACTAATTATTCTAGTCATTGAAGTTATCTTTCCATTTATATGTGTTTTATTTTTTTAAATTTACTGTGGGCACATGAACTCACTGGAGAGAAGCAGAAAGAGAGAGAAAGAGGAAAAGTGAGAAAGTGAGAAAGGATTCCTTGTAGAGATGGCCAAACTGCAATCCATTCTTTTTCATTTGTTCTTTTAGGATTTTGAGTGCACATGCATTCATATGTCTTTCAAATCTTTGGTGTCCAGGACTTGAATTGCTGACCATGTGGGATCCAAACACTCTAGCCACTACTTCACCAGCTGGTCCCTTTATTTGTATATTCTACAATTTCTTTCTTTCTTCTTTGTTTGGGAGGGAGGTTTGTTTTTTTATGAAAGGACACATGTGCTCACCAGAAAGAGAGGGAAAGTGAGAAATCATTCCTGTGGGGATTGCCACACCACAATCCCTTTTCCTCTATTCTTCCCTTGATAATTTAGGCATACACACACACACACACACACACACACACACACACACCAGGCATGATTTCCAAGCTGCTGGGCCCAGAATTTGAACAATGCAGTCAACCATGTGTGAATCCAGTGCCTTAACCACCTGCTGGCCCTTCTATAATTTCTTTTTCAAAAATTCTTCTTATTGACACATACTAATTGTACATAGTTATGGATGCACAGTGATGTTTCAATATATGTACGCATTGTGGAGCTGGCCTCATAGCTGTATGGTTAGGGGAGTTGGGTCCCACTTGGCTGACTGCTGTTCAAATTCTGGCCCTAGTAGCTTGAAAGACATGGTGTGTGTGTGTGTGTGTGTGCGCGCATGTATTCCCAAATTCATGACATGTAGGAGAAATAGAGCAAAAGGAAATGTGGTATGTCCATGTGTCACTGGGGAGGGGATGTCTCTCTCTCTCTGTCTCTCCTTGGAAAGCACATACACCCTCTGGTAACTAAAAAATACACATATGCATTGTGTAATGATCGAATCAGGGTAATTAGTATATCCCTCACCTCAAACATAGTTTCTTTGTGATGAGAACATTCAAAATCCCATCTTGAAGCTATTTTACAATATGTAATACATTAATTAACTACAGTTGCCTTACTGTGGAGTAGAGCACCACATTTTATCCCTCCTGTCTGATGATAACTTCAAACCCATTGACTACCTCTCTTTATTCCCTCTATTCTCTATCCTCCCTCTTCTCTGATAATCACTATTCCACTTTGTACCTCAATGAAATCAGCTTTTTTAGATTGTATATTTGAATGAGATCTTGCAATATTTGTCATTCCGTACCTGGTTTATTTAACTTAACATAATGTCCTTCAGGTAACTCATGTTATCACGGCTGGCAGGATTTTTATTCATTTTTATGGTTGACTAGTATGCCACCGTGTGTGTGTGCAGGTGTATTTCTTTATTGATTCATCTTTATAAACACCTAGGTTGCTTCCATATCTTGGCTATTGTGACTTACGCTGCAGTAAACATAAAAGTGAAGATATCTCTTTTGCATACTGATTTGATTTCCATATATATATATATATCCAATAGTGGGGTTAATGGATAGTACAGTGGTTATGTTTTTCATTTTGTGAGGAACCACCATATTATTTTTTATAATAGCTATGTTATTTTACATTTTCACTAAAAGGATTCCTTCTCCATATTCTTACAAACACTTAGGTTTTGTCTTTTCAATGATAGCTAGTCCAAATAGACTGAGGTAATATCTCATTGAGATTTTGATGTGTTTCTCTGAAAACTAGTGATGTTCAGCCTTTTTTATACCTGTTGGCCATGTGTATACCTTCTTCTGAGAAATGTTTATTACTAAGGTCCATTTTGTTAATTACTTTTAATTGCCAGAGGGAGTGTGCACTCACAAGAGAGAGAGAGAGAAGGAAGGAGGGAGGAGAAAAGACCCTCTAGTGGACATGGTCACACCACAATCTCTTCTCTATTTCTCCATTCTATCAGGATTTGAGGCAAGCATGGGAATGCATCTGGTGTATTTTTCAACCAGACAGGATTTGAACTACAATAAGCCATCTAAGATCCAACTCTCTTAATCACTAGGCTTCAGGGCCAGCCCCCTATTTGTTTCATTTTTAATTGTGTTATTATTAATATTATTAAATCTTTTTCTATTGACATCTTTAAGTTCCTTATGCAGTCCAAATATTAATCTCTTGTCAGTTGTGTAGTTTGCAAATATTTTTTATTGTCCCATAGCCTGTCTCCTCACTTGTTGTGCAAAGTCTGATGAAATTTAATTTGTCTATTTTTTCTTTTGTCACCTGTGCTTTTTTTTTTCTACCTTTTTTTTTTTTGGAGAGGTTTTTGCTATAGGGCACATGCGCTCGCCAGAAAGACAGAGAGAGACAGAGAGACAGAAAGCAAAAAATCACCCCCCAGGGGGGATGGCCACACCAAAATCCCTTTTCCTCCATTCTCCTTTCGGGATCTTGGGCATGCACACACATGGGCATGAGTTTAAGCCATCAGGTCCGGGACTCGAACTGCGGTCGACTACATAGGAGTCCAGTGACATAGCCATTATGCCAACTGCTGGTCCCACCTGTGCTTTTGAAGTCTTACTCGAAAATATTCTTGCCCCACCCAAAGTCATGAAGCATTTTCCTTACATTTTTTCTCAATACCATTTATAGAAGAGACTATCTCAAGTGTATGTTCTTGGTACCTTTGTTAAAAATCACCTGGTCCAGCAAATGGCATAATGCTTTAGGTGCTGGACTCCCACATGGCTGACCATGGTTCAAGTCCTTGAGTGGTTGGCTTGATAGTCACACTGGGCACTTGTGCATATGTGCCCTGAATTCCAAGAGGAGATGGAGGAGAAGGGATTATGGTTTGGCCATCCCTGCAGGGGATAATTTCTTACTTTCTCTCTATCTCTCTCTGTGTTTCTGATAAGTACACACTCCATATAGAAAAAATTCTATTTTTATAGCAATGTCATGGTGTTTGGGTTACTGTAGCTTTGTAGTATATTTTGAATTCAGGTGGTATGATGCCTTCAGTTTTGTTGTTTTTGTTAAATATTGTCTTGGCTATTTAAGGTCTTCTGTGGTTCCATATAAATTTTAGCTTTTTTTTTTTGGTGTTTATGTGAAGAATGTCAATGATATTTTGATAGGGATTTGAGTCATATGAACACTTTAACAATACTAATTATTCTAATTGATGAACCCAAAATATTTTAAATGATTTTTGTCTTTGATTTCTTTTATGAATGTTTGATTGTTTTCATGATAGAAATCTTTCTCCTTCTTGGCTAAATTTATTCCTAAATATTTCATTTTGGGAGTATGGTTTTCATACATAAACTTGTTTCATGATTTCTTTTTCAGATATTTCACTACAGCATTCCAAAATTGTACTAATTTTTTTATGCTGATTTTGTATTCTGTGACTTTACTGAATTAATTTATTAGTTCTAATAGTTTCATATGGAATGTCCACACACTTCTGATATGTAGGAACATATGATCTGCAAACAGACAATTTGACTTCCTCCTTTCCAATTTGGATGCCTTTTATTTCTCTGTCTCACCTAATTGCTCTGGTTAAGATATCCAATACTATATTGAATAGAATTGGTGAGTGGAGATCCTTCTTTCAGATTTTAGAAGAAAAATCTTTCATCTTTTCTCCACTAGTATGTTATTAGCTTGGGTTTGTCATGTATGACCTTTAATATGTTGCAGGATTTTTTAAAATCATAGAGCAATGTTGAACTTTTTCTTAATTTTTTTCTTATGTTTATAAAGCAGTTTTTGTCTTTTCTGCTTATGTGAATTATCACATTTATTAATTATTAATTACATAAACAACGTTATTAATTTGTGCACATTGCATCATTCTTGCACCCTTGGGATGAATTCCTCCTGATCACAGTGTATTATCTTTTTAGTATGTTCTTAAATTTGGTTTGCTAGCATTTTTGGGAAGATTCTTGTATCTATACTTTTAAGGATTCTTGGCACCCGCAGATGGCATAATGATTACTTCACAGTACTCCCACATAAGCAACTGCAATTTGAGTCCCAGACCCAGTGGCTTAAAATTCATGCTGGGTATGTATGTGTGAGCGGCCACAATCTGAGAGGAGAATGGAGGAGAAGGAATTGCGGTGTGGACTTCCTCCCAGGGAGTGTTTTCTTGCTTTCTGTCTCTCTGTCTCTTCAGCATGCGCATGTGCCCTATAGCGAAAATCTCTTAAAAAAAAAAAAAAAAAAACAGGAATACTGGCCTGGAGACAGCAAATGGTGTGGTGGTTAACATGCTGGATCTCAAATAGCAGACTCTGTGGTTTGAGTCGCAAACTTGGAAACTTGAAAAACACACTAAGCATTTGTATGTGCATGCCCAAAATCCTGACAGAAGAAAAGGGGAAAAAGGACTATAGAGTGGTCATCACCCCAAGAGGATGTTTTCTACTTTTCTTCTTTCTTCATCTCTCTCTGCCTTTCTTTTTTTTTAAAGAATTTTTTAAAACTTTATTTATTTATTTATCTTTATTTGACCAGAGAGGGACAGATCGAGAGAGCGAGAAAGGATAAAAAGAGAGAGAGAGAGAGAAAGCAAGCTTCCAGGTCTGGGTCTCGAACCATAATTGGCCATGTGGAAGTCCAGCACCTTCAACCAGCACGCCCCCTGCTGGCCCCTCTGCCTTTCTTTTGTAAGCATGCCTGCCCTATGGCAAAAACCTTTAAAAAAGAATATTGGCCTGTAATTTTCTTTTGTTGTGCCCTTGTCTGGGTTTGGTGCCAGGGTAATGTGGGCTTGTAGAGTAAGTTTGACAGTATCCCCTCCTTTTGCTATTTGTTCTTTTTTACGTTTGGTAGAATTCTGCAGTGAAACCATCAGGTTTTTCTTTGCTTTGAAACTTTTTATTATTCATTCAATTTCTTCAGTATTGATCTGTTCAGAGTTCCTATTACTTCAAAATTCAGTCTTGGTAGGTTGTATGTGTCTATGAATTTATTCACTTCATCTAGTTTACCCAATTTGTTGGCATATAATTCTTCACCATAGTCTTTTATATGTTTGTGGTATCAGTCTTTACATCTTTTTAATTTTTATTTATTTTAATCCTCTCTCCTTTTTACTTAGACTAACTAGAAATTTGTCAGTTTTGTTTATCCTTTTTATAAAAATTAATTCTTCATTTTGTTTATCTTTTTTATTGTTTTTCTGGTCTCTATTTCATTTCTTTCTGCTCTGATATTTTGTATTTCCTTCATTCTACTAATTTTGGATTGAACTTATTGTTGTTTTCTAGCTTTTTGAAGTGTGTTAATATGCTGTTTAACTGAGATATTTCCTACTCTTTGGTGTAGACATTGATTGCTATGAACTTCCTATTTTTTTTGTATTTCACAGATTTGTGCTATACTGGGATTTAATTTTTTTTTTTTTCCTCACTGGAGAGAGACAGAGAGAGTGAAAGGGATTTTGGGCACACACACACATGTGCCTGAAGCAATTTTCAAGCCACCAGAAGCATGGTCAGCTATGTGGGAGTCCAGTGCCTTTCTTCTACACCATTTGCTGGCCCAGTCCTGCCATTTTGTTTATTGTTTTTTAGTTGTTTTATAAGGTTTTTCCTCCCTTCTTTCTTTCTTGTTGTTTACATTTGTAGTTGGGTGGTTTTCTATAATACCAAACTTTGATTTCTTTCCATGTCTTGTTTGTGTACCTGCTATAGTTTTTTTCCATGTGGTTGCTATGGGATTGGCATAAATAACTTCGTCATATGAGAGACTATTTTAGATTGTAAATACTCTAGACTTTTATTCTTCCTCTCACTATTTCAAACTTTGTTTTCTAATTTACATATTATTATACTGTGTGTTCCTTTTCAATTTCTTGTAGCTACAGCTATTTTTAACCATTTTGGTTTTTTTCTTTAAGAAATATTTTTGCTATATGATGCATGTGCTCGCCGCAGAGACAGAGAGAGACAGAGAGACAGAAAGCAAGAAATCATCCCCCTCAGGAAGGATGGCCATGCCACAATCCCTTCTCCTTGTCTCCTCTTGGGATTTGGGGCATGCATGCACATGTGCCTGGAGTGAGTTTTTAAGCCACCAGGTCCAGGACTCAAACAGTGGTTGTATACGTGGAAGTCCAGCAACATTATGCCATCTGCTAGTCCCAACCATTTTGACTTTTAATCTGTATATTAAACACTTGAAAGAGTTATATAGTACCACTGAAGCACTGGATTTAATTACAAATTTACCACTACCAGTGAGTTTTA